TCTATTTCCTGCTTCAATAGTACTACAGAAGTTATAATTAACATTTTCTTTTCCTCTATTGATATCTACATAATTATTATTTTTTTGAGAATCCAAAGCCCTATATATATAGTAGTTTTTGTTCTCTGTGATATTGATTCTGTACCTATTAGTCGTTATTTCTGTTGTAATAAATCTTACTGGCTAACTAGCAGTAGTTGGGTATAAATTACTTGGTAAAATATTACAATTAGTCGAATACATCAACGTATGGTCACGCCTTTAATTTCTCGAATAGATAGATACTTAAACTTCAATACTTGAATTAAATATTACAGCGACGGTACTTTCATCAGTAGGTAGTGCATACGACAGAATTTCGTCTGTTTACTTGACAACAATATTTAATTTTCCTGTTACGAAACTGTACACAGCTGTGTGCACTGCTCATCATTAGCGGATACACAATGAAACTAATATAATTACCTATAGTCACTTGTTTGTTTCCAATAATAAATAATATGTTTTTATAAGTAAACACAAGTGGTGCAGGATATTGTTTAACATGTTTGAACAATGCAATATCAATGTGTGATGTAATTTACATATTTATCTTGCCATTCTTTGTTTAGTTTCTTCCGAAATATATTATACATACATCTAACATATGTACAGACAAAATGAGCTGTCGTATTAGTTATGAAAGTCATCGTACCGGTAAAAACACATTTTTTACTAATGTAAAATGGAATTTAGTACATTACTTATATGACTAAGAGCCACGGTATGACTTGAAACAAATAGAGCTTTTCTCGAACAACTCACGAAAGTACGCCGCTTATTTTTTGAATTAATATAAATATTTTTTAAAAGTTGACAGTAAACATGATGACATCTACTCAGATATATGTAGGTCCAATATCTACAAAACATACAAAGGCCGTCAATTCAGAAAAACAAATGTTGCCACTAGACACTATGTATGTATATGCGGGCGATATCTAGTGACAAACATGTGATAGTAACTGTCTATGAAATGCTTTGTAGAATCAGACACAAAAACATAATTTAAAGGAAACATTACCTCACTTTCTACAAACAGTACAATTGTTTGTAACAATTGCATTTAAATCAACACAACAATGGCCCTAACAAATTACAATATACATAATAGTAATAATAATTAGCCTAACATAACAGCAAAATTACTAATAATTCGTTACGTGCGATAACTGTTAAAACATACAAGTAATGAATGTTTGTCTGACAATAAACAGTACATGGTAACGCCATTACCAGTGACGTATACATATATACATTGTATACATTATGTATAGTCAGAGATCGGACGTCACAATGTAGTACAAATATTGGCAGCCGTCTGATCAATTTGGTCGGAGCCTCGTGCCAATCGATTTAACTGTTTGACTTTGTATTGAGTTCAATATATTTAAAATTAAAGGCGTGTTTTGCCAATGTTTTCGTAGAAAGGTAGGCACATAGAGGTGTGCGCAAATTATAATATTTGACTCAATTTTTAACATTGTCTTTGTTATTTAAATGCCAGGTCAATCATTTTTTTGGTTTCATTTGGGGATAAAATATACTTAGTTATGAGTTTGAACGTTAAATTATTAGTATTAGAGAGTTTCAGAATTTTTAGTAATCAAAATTGTTACCTATCATTGATTTGGATTAATATCTTAAGATGGTATCAGTACCCTTTCTCATGGAGCCCTTTATTACTGTTGGAAGTTCAGAAGTTAAATGTTTTTGTAAAGCAACTAGAGGTCGGCACAGTTTGAACTTGTTAGCGACAGTTTTGCCTCTTCTAGGACAGAACTTGCGAATCTTTGCGAAACTTTAGTTGCGCCCTCTGACACTCGGTACTTACGTAAGTATGTTCCGTCGGGAAATGTCTTCATTAAATTGCCCACTGTTTCAACTCTGACGTCTGGCGCACTTCATTATTAGTTCAACTAATGACACATTTTGTGCAGAAATTAGTTGTTATTTTGAACTGAAAAGTAAGTGGTATTAAGACAATAAATTGGAATTAGTTCCTAAAATAAATCGTGCTAGTTATATACGCGTAGTTCTATAATCTAACATATCATACTACTGCATTTATAACTTATATGCTAGGCTGTGACGTCACACGCCGATATGTGCCCATGAATGAGTACCTACGTCACACATCATCATTCATACTTTACACATGTCTAGTACCTAATTAGATACCGCGGGACAATGCACTCGTATCTCAAATATTACTAGGCTAATCAAGTTTAAACCTGTTTACTAATTTTGCAATCAAGATTTAGAGTAAAAATGTCAGAATTGATTGAGAAAGTTCAATTTATTACGTGTCTCGATGATATAATACAAATAATTCCGTCAATAAAATACGCGAGAGGTGGCCGAGTGGTTTTGAAATTCATTGCTTCACGTTTCACCTGGGACTATAACAAGTGAACCTAAATACCTAATTTGGTTTCATCATTTTCAACACTGTACTATACTCCTAACAACCGCTTACCTACTTTACTGAGTTCTAAACAACCTTGTTTGGTTAGTGATTCAAGTAGCATCCATGTTTGTTGATCGTACTCCTCGCGACGTAGGTAATGTAAATTCCTGTACCTAAGCCATATGACACGCTCAGTGTGAAGCACAAGTAATTAATGATTACATATCAGATGGACGGCTCCATAATTCACAAGCTATTAGGCGAGTAGCCATCAGCTAAATATATAATGAAACGCGACATCAGTTACATAAGGCGACACAATGGCCGCAGTTGACGGGACACAATTTGTTTGGGAAACTCTTTCTTCCCCCAGTTCTCGACGCACAAAGCCAACGCAGAGATTTTTTGTCAAGAGTAAGGCGCCATAAAGTTTGAGCTGAATACTGCCGGGTTCGAGACATAAATCAAAGAGCGCCGTAATGCCGGCGAGGGCGCCCATTCACAGTCCGACTGAAAGGGTTGTCGCGAGCTGTTCACGGTCTGTTCAATTACGTGAATGGGAGACGGGAGCTCTTATGAGATTGTCATAAAAGTAACGTGTAGCATTTTATTTATATTTCAGTAGTTGGACGCGATGTGACACGGTGGCTTTGTAAGATAGCTGGTAGCTGAATCAGGAAAAACAGGTTGTGGTTAACGCAAAGAATTGAGTGAACAATGCAATGTAACAGGCGTTCAATATCGTTGTTCTTACAATTACTACGCTAATTTGTTTTGGACTTTAGGAGTAACTAACAAAAAATATGAAATTACGTTTGGTGAATTATTTAGTAACATTGCCAGACAAAGATATTTGGTATTGCAGTAAACACCCGTAAAATCATTGAGTAGAACTGAAGGCAATGCAACTGTGCAATCTTGTGCCGGCGCACTATTGCTTTTGAGAAATAAGTGCATAATCGCATTCACTGAATATCTGCGTAATGTACTTCATATAATCTCACCACGACCACTTTGCAGCAAGGACTATAACTTCAACTTTACATCGGTCGTAAATTTTACAACTGTCTGATGTCGCAGGCTCGCTTTCATCTCCACTTGTCGTGATATGAATGGCGCATTTAATGACGCAGTAGATACCAAGTGTTACTTAGTTAGGTAGTTAGGTTCTGCTGTGGTCGCTACACACAAGTGTACAGAGGGAACAATTAGTCGCATTGCGCATTGATTTGACGCTCGCGGCTCACGGAGACACGCTCTAGGGTCTCTCGGACCGGCTGGAGGGGACGCAAGTTCAAATGTTACTTAATAACAAGTACCACTTGAACTTGTTTCTTTTGTGAGCATTTTTCTTTGAGGGAGAGAGAATAAAACAGCGGACAGAATCAAATATTTCTTGTCTAAGTATGACGTGTTTCTTATCACAGTTGTTTCACTTGAAGCGAAGATTTCGATGGTTGTTTGCGACTTTTAGTATACACAATTTCTTATACTACAAGTCTAAATAAGACATGAAACGACTTGTCAGCACTGCTTCATCTAAAGTATTCGCAACGCGAGGCCCAGCCCAGCCCCAGCCCCAGCTACAAAGCTCAACTCATTAAGAGCTCACAGTTTGAAGTCGACGGGGAATCAATAGTAATTAAGTTAAGTCAAGTCGGAATTTTGTATGTAATTCATTCATCTGTGTCTTGGAGGCTCGGCGGAGTCGGCGGCCGGGATTACGGGACTTGATGCAAATTGTCGGAGACGGCAGACCTCAATCAAACACAATTGCCGTCGGAATTGAATTTGTGAGCCGTCGGTGTTCCCGGTGTTCCGTCTATGTTTCATCGGTACCGCCGCCGGTGTGCCGGACGAGTTTACCGGGTCGTCTGTGTCCTGCGCTTCCTAGACCGTCAATTGTCTGGAACAATGTTGTACTAATTAGTAACTCAATTTGAGTCTGAAATGTCTTGGTGTTTAATCCTAGTTGTAGGTCACGAGCTTATTTCGCATCATATGTTGCGTTACAAAATACTCAGTAAATATGTGATTAATTAATTAGTATTTT